GTGGAACTTGAGAGAAACTTAAATAAACTTCCAGAGTTTGGCACACCACGATCCGTCTCTGTCTGCTAAATCCTAACATATTATTATTATTTTCTTCTATTTTTCTGTGATTACGTTTTTGTACATCTTGTGCTTGTTTTACATAAATAAGCAAAACAATAAATTAATTTTCCCCTCTTATGCATGGTTTGGTAGCAATACTTTTTGGTTAGAAACTATGATGGACAAGAGGTGACTTAATTAATGAATCTAATAGATAAATAAACAAACAAGTATACTAGCGGGCCCCGTCACTGCAAAACATACAAGGTCATAGAAAATGAGGTACATTGGCAAAATCTTGTTTTAAGGCAGTCAAAATGAGCTCAAACTTAGACACATTTAGCCAATTTTGAGCCATTTTTGAATTATTTTCCATCACTTTTTGCTGTTTTCTGACCGTGCTCTCGTTTCTGCAGCTTCCTGGTGGATCATGACTAATATGAACGACAACAACTGATGCCCTCTGTGATACCTGCCTGCTCTATCGGCTCTCATCAGCATCCAGCATCCAGCCCTCACCATCGCAGCAACCAGGACGACCTAAAGACAGGCCTCTCTGCAGCTCTGGGAGACCACAGCGCCCCCTACAGCACCACCTCTCTCAACAAAAATCTCCCCTACACCTCTGTGCACCCTGCCTGTCCATAGACTTGAAATCCACCAGCGATCCGCAAAACGCAACACATATTGATTCATTTTTGTATTGAATTTTGTTGTTTTGCCCCCGTACCGCACACAAACTTTCGCTTTGCTCATTCGTTTTCCCCTTTGTCTGATGCGATCACGTCAAAGCGGAAACGCAGCCAAACACAGCACGCGGTTTGTTCAGAGTTAGCGCAATATTTACAGACAAAAGTAGTGCTTTTTATTAGCTGTTTTACTTAAAAGGTGACCAACGTGCATGATGGTGATGCAAGAGCTGTCATCCTAAATGTATTGATGTGTGATTCTACAGCACTATTCTCCGTCCCTGTGCGTTACCATGGCGACCACTGGGATAAGTTGTGGTTCAGTATTTATTACGTGTATATTCATTATTATATGTTTACGTACAAATATAAGGCATGTGTATATACTGTACATCTTTCAGCCTTTGTTTGGTCATTCTCATCACGGCTTGTAAACTTTTGGAAAATGACTGTAATAAAAAGGAGAAATGAAATTGGTGTTTTGATTATTATTAGACTGAGGAAGGAAAGGAAACGTCCAAAACACATTTAAATCATGAATAATCACAGTACATTAAAAAGAGGGACTACAATCCTCCGATCTGTTTTAAAGATGCAGTCCGTGATTTTCAGACTCATTTTTAGAAATATTGTGGGAAAATGTCCCCAAACCCTGAAAGTATCAAGTTCTCATGTGTTTACAAATATATGGAGCGGACCAATAAAAATAGACCAATGGGATTCGTTCATCCCCAACGAACCAATGGGATGTGTTTACCCCCTTCACCCTCTTCCTGTTTCTCAGAGTGCACCGGAGTTATCGGATTTTCTAAAACCTAAAATGTCTGAACAGAAAATGCCAATTTCACGTTTGCTTCACTCTCCCTGTTGTGATGAAGAAAAGAAAACGCTGGATGTTTGGTTCGGTGGAGAGGGAGGGGAGGGGGGAGGGGTTTGGTGTTAGTGCTACGGCTAAGCTAACAACATCGCTTACTGCTCCTTTAAGATGAGATAAACTTTATTGATCCCGAAGGAAACGGCAGTGATGAACTTACATAATGAATAAGTTGCTAGAATATAATTAATAATATGATTTGTTTTGATTTTCTGACTCAAATCATTTTTTGTGTGTTTTCTTTTCTTTTTTTTAGTCCATACATATATTTTATTGCTGCTTGAAGTCAGACTGACAGTTCAATGTGGACCGAGGCCTATGAAAACAATTGTCAGACTTCAAATAGACAAGTAATAAAAATGCTAACATGAAACCCGTCACATCAGCGAGTTTTGCATATTTATTTTCAGAGCAGACTTGACAGACAGAGCTTGTGTTCCATGATTCATCGCGCTCCTCCACGTCACTGCAGACGCACTTTCTGAAATGCTTCTATCGACAGGTTTGAGCAGGATTCACGAACATCTTCAAGCTGATTGTTTTGATTTGTTTGCTCCACGCAAAAAATAGGAAGGGGAAAAAAAGGACACGGGTTGTGTTTGGTTTTCGTTTTGAGTGTTGCAAAAATATGAATAAATGCTGTGATATATGGGGATAATTTATGTTCATATTGACTTTATGAAATAGAGAGAGAGAGAGAGAGACAAACAGAGAGAAAGAGAGTCAAAGAGAGAGACACAGAGGGACAAAGATAGAGAGAGAGACAGAGAGAGAGAGAGAGAGAGGGACGGCGAGAGAGAGTCAAAGAAAGAGACAAGAGGAAAGAAGTTGCGGCAGACAAGAAAACTTGGAACTGGAATCTGATCAAAAATGTATCACTTTGACATATCGTGAATTAATGTTTGTCATCTTTGGATCAGCTCTTTCAGACAGAAAACTGAAAAACAGAAGACCACCCTCACTCGGCCAATCAGCTCTCAGCACAAAATGTCAAGTAAACAACATGAAAAATAAACCAAAAGTCTAATATGACGAAGACGGCTGATTTCTTAAACATTTTAGTTTAACAAGATTTTTCTGTTGAGACAAAAAAAGTTAGACACCCCAGCTTTAAATGAGCACACTGTAAAAAGTGATGAAAAATACGTCAAGAATTACTCAAATTTGGCTAAATGTATCTTGATTTGGGCACTTTCTGACTGAAACCTAGATTTGCCAATGGGACAAAGCAAAATGATCTTGTTTTAAAAAGATTTTTTTTTTTTCAAATGAAGCAAACATTTTTGAAACAAGACTAAATGACTATGTCCCAGTGGAGTTTTAACACAGTCAGAATGTGCTTAAATTAAGAAAAAAAAATATCCATTCAAGAATGTATTACCTCATACTTGATCATGTTTTGCAGTGCAGGAATCTAAAATCGACGGGTTTCTGACCAAAAACCAGCTGCTTTTTATAGTGACAGGCTCCTCCCATCTGCTCTGAGGTCATGGATCAGCAAAAGTCATTTTTTTAATACTAATCGTTATTCTTATAGATCCATGATTGTAATTTACAGCTTCCCTGTTTGAGGGTTTGCCACCGTCCGTATCCATGGAGACGATATCCTCTGCCTGGAACATGGACCTCCATACTGTATCTACCTCATGGATCTAAAAGAGCATAATGTCAGATGTGGATGTGGATTCAACTAATGTTTGTGAACCAATTAATTGATAAATAATAATAAAGAAATAGATCAAAAATTGAGACGGTGTCACTAAGTCAATGGTCAGATCTGTGGATCCTGTTCATAAAAGGGAAGTGATATCGTTTCATTTTCTTCCCCTTAATCCATTCACGGACAGACACGGCCTTGGACTTTCAGCGGGGACTTTGGGTAAAGTGGGGTGAAGTGTCTTGCCCAGGGACACAACGACAGCGGACATCAGAGGGAGCAGGTGACATGGGTCGTGGGGGAATCAAAACAACACTTTTTATGTTTTTTATAGATGTTTTATGGTTTATCTAACTATAAAAAAGCAAAAAACAATATTTGATCATGATCCTTTACACTCGACCTGGAGAATACTTTTATTATCAAGTTGCTGTTGCAAAGAAACGCAAGATATTGCGCTGTGATAAAATAAAAGATTTCGGGGCAAACAATATCAAAGCTTCACCGGAGCGAGGCCTGCTGCAAAACTCACACATCTCTTCCTTTGTTAGAAATACAGTAGATCTACCGGGTTTCCTGCACTCAATCTAATACATATTTAACTAGTATTTACTTTTTAATTTTAGTTCTATTTTTTTTGGTATGTTTTAAGTGTTGAGGTAATGGTTGTCACATAATTTCTTTCAGAGGTGAATAAATAAATAAAACAGCTAAACTAGATTGATCACAAAGTCTGCTCAAATATGGTTTTGTTTACATTTTCCGGTAAATAAACAATGATCCGTGTATGTGTTTGGGAGTCCAGTCTGTTGCGTTTCTACTGCTTTCTCAAAATATTGTACTTTGGTGCCATCCAGTGGTTGTATGAATACATAGCACCTGATGAGCTTCACAATACAAGCACAAAAAACAGTCATTGTAAATGTAATTGTCAACTTTTTTATATAGCTTTCAATGATATTAAATTATGTAGTTTTCAATGATGTAGAATGATAAATATCTGCAAGAGACACAGTGAAATGCAATCGTTTTTTTACACCTTCACATGAGATCTGAGCCAATTACTTCCATGATGGACGTTTATTATGCCTCGACTCCAAAACAAATATTCATAACGTGTTCTCGCTTTGGACACAGGAAAAACAGACCGATTTATTTTAATATTTATTGTCAAGACAACTTTTAATATGAAGATACGCCTCATAACAAAAGTGTATTGAATGAACAAGAAGGGGGAACTGTGGCTCACAAAATAAATGCATTCTCTCATAGATTTTGTACAAAGTCAATATACAATAAAACAACAGCAGAGTATCACTAAACATTTTAACATAGACAAGGATAAAAATGAGCTGTACAAATACAATTTCTTGCTCCTGAGACTTTGTGTGGGACAAACGTGACCCTGTTATAAAACCTAGAGTAATACGGCATCTTTGTAAATGTGTCTAGTCGGTTACAGAGTTTTTTGGCGACAGAACACAGCGTTTCGTTTTGGAATTTACATCTCAAACTTTGGTGATGCAGGGGAAAAAAAGCAAAAAATCTCCAAATATTATCATGAACCAAACTTTTTTTTTTCTCTAGTCGTAATATTGCTTTGACATAAGTAATGGAATACTTAACAATATCCACGGACACACAATAATTGAAGTAATGGCAAGCAAATATTTAAGTACATACAATGATAGCTGCTTATGTCTGGTATAATTACACTTTTTAAAGGCGCACTATGTACCTTTAGTTAAAGGAGGGTGTGCAACCGTCTTAGTGTCCCCCCCCTTAGGTCACACACAAACACATCACATGTTGTTTACAAGTATAGTCCCGAAAGTTCTGCTGTTGTGTCCTTGGGCAAGACACGTGCAATGGGCTCTGTGCACAGGAGCGGGCTCACTTAGACTTCGGTTCCACTTGTTTTTGAAGGGTCTATTTTGACTCTAAACTAAGAAAAACAAGGACGACACACACTGGGTTGTGTGTTGACAGAACAGACACAGTGGCAACACAACTGCCATCAAAGCTGAGGCTGAAATGATTATAAATTAATGAATTGATTACAAAAAAGCTTTGATGAGAATTGTGTTTCCTTAATCAAAGAGTGTAGATAACTTCTTAAAACTGCTCTGAAGGAGACAAACTAATTTATCATTTAAGACGTTTTGTAGACAATCTAAAACAATGTGCTGGGATTTTTATTCTTCTCATGAATCATACTTCTTTCTAAAGTATATGTTACATTTCCAGTTTTCTCCCACTGGGTTTCAGAGTTTAGATAGTTGGTGTCTTACAGGGCTGTGGTGATCCAGGACACTTTAACATTCTACATTCATGGACATTGGTCAAACTTCCTAGGGTCCAATACCTGTTCGATACTCTCTAATTTTGAACCCTTTGATTCTCTGATCTGTGTTAGCGATTTCAAAGGTTTTGTAAAGTCCTCTGAGATAACTGCTGTGATGCAGGGCTACACAAGTATACATTGAATTGAATTGAATTGCAGGTAACAATGAAAAGACAGTGAATATATTACTTAAAGGTACACTGTGTAGTTTTTACTCCCATCTAGCATTGAGATCATATTGTGTCATTTACTGAACTACGGTAACTTTGCGGGAAAATATGTTGTCTTTGACAGTCGTTTCCAACTCCTGGTCGAACTCCTTTTTGTCCCTTATCAACCACTGTATTCCAAGATGGCGCATTGACATGTAGAGTCCTCCAGCCTCGTGGACATTGATAAGTCAAATTCTAAGCCTATGACAACAATTCCAAAATATGGTGGAGGTAAATATTCTTAAAAAGGTCACATTTGTTATTGGTTACCATGTTTTTTTCATTTGGAGCAACTGTAAAAATTACACAGAGTACCTTTCAATAATCAACAATAAAAATCAATGGGAGACTACCACTATCTGCAGTAGTACACATAAATCACAGACTATTAATCTCAATTAAATAGACTGTGTTTAATCATGTTATTCATTGCTTTGTGATTTAAATATCTGTTGTTTTTCAATTGTATGCTGCGATTAACAAAACAACAGTCAGTGGATGTGATAATGTTAGCGTTGAGCGAGTCCGCCCCAGTGCACAGAGCCTTTTGAAACAATATATAACAATTTAATATCGTTTTGTGGAACATTCCGAGCAAAGTTGCGTCTCCGAGGACAAAGAAGCGAGCGGCAGACTCCCCAGTGACGTCAAAGTGACACAGTGCACCTTCAAACCAACCGCGCTCTGCTCTACAGCTTAAACTTATGAAGTACAAATATTGGTCTTCCAAATGTCTTACTTTTAATACCATCGTTTCACAGTCAAAAAGTCTGAATTTTCCACCCTCCTCCTCTTCGTCTTGTCCTCTTTTGGACGACAACACGGACGTTTCCATCTGCTCCGAAGATCTCGCTCGTCCAATAGATGCGATTGATGCCAAACTCCTGAAGTAGTCCCAGTTGACAAATCCGTCATCTATAGTCTGCCTTTCAATATCTGCCAAAAGGAGGACGCTGCTGGGAAAAAATAAAATAATAAAGTTATATCCTAACCTCGGCCGCGGGTTCTTTCCATGTCCGTAGCTTCCAAAAAGGTTTGTATTTTGGGATTGCGTTTTAGTGTCCGTTCGTTTCGTGTTTCGGGGTGGAGGGCGTGGAAGACCTGGAGCTGGGTTTGTCCGCGGCCGGGCTGGAGGTGGCGGGGAGGCTGGTGAGAGTCTTGACCGCGGAGGTGCTTAGCGGGGCCGAGGAGGAGGTGGTGGTGGGTTTGGGCTGAGCTTGGAGGCCCGGGCTGCAGATGAGGTGGTGGCGCTCCCAGTCCTTGTGCTGGCAGAAGGAGCCGCAGTATCGGGCGGCGTTGCAACCGCTGCACGTCTCGCTGGCTTTCCGGCCGCAGTTCCAGCAGCACTGCGGGAGAGGGGCGAGGTCAGGGATGAGCCAGAGATTGATATCACAGTTTTTAAAAAGGCATATAGGAGGATTTTCTACTTCCGGGCGGATCATCAAAACTATTGGTTCTCCTAATTGTCAATCATTCTGGTGATAAGTGCTCGTCAAATAAGACCAGCGTTTGGTTCATAAAGAGGAGAGGGCGGTTCATTCTTAAAATTTGGGAAAATCCTCCTTTAGACCTGACTTTTTTGTTTCATTATAATAAGAAAAAAAATAATGCATTGATTTTATTTAGCGCTTTTCAGGACACTCAAAGAGGCTTCTCATGTCATTATTCATTCACTCCATACTCAGTGGTGATAAACTACTATTGTAGCCACAGCTGCCCTGGGACAGAAGCGAAGCAACCAGTCTGTGCCATCGGCCCCTCCCACCACCACTCATTCACACACACATTCTGGGTACATGCACGTGAAACTGTTTAAGATACAGGGGCTAGTTTCATTGATTTTTTTGAATTTTTTTTTGTAGTTTCATATGAGATTATCAGATTGAGAGGTAGCTTGACATCTCTAAACTAAATGTGAAATAGAGCAATGGATTATTATTTCATAAACTACTTAAGAGTTATTCTTCCACGTGATGTTTCTAAATATAAAGCCTAGCAATGATTCACAATGTACATTTTTATTTCCATTTGTGACTGACATTTCTCCAATTCAACATCGAAACGCAATCCTTGACTGAACAGCTTTTTATCTTCACTTCTCGGCACATACACAATTCAATTATTTCATTTATTGTTTCTAGGAAAGGAGGAGGTATACAGTAATGTGATTTCCCAGGTGCATTGCAAACACTCTTATTTTGGTTTATTTAAAGCCAGGATACCCAACTTTCAAAGCACAAAAAATTAACTACGTAGGTCCTCGCCGTCTAAACCGTTTTGGTTCTGTCTCTCGTTTTCACATTCATTCCACGTCAACGTAAATCAATTTTTTCAGACAGAAAAAGTGAAAACAGAGGACCCTCAAACAGCCAATACAGCTCCTATCCCACAGGGTCAAAAAGTGACTCCAGGGCTCGGACGTGTTTTTTTTTAAACGACAACGCCAAGTTGTGGTCTGACATCAACTATTTTTCCAAAACTTTCTGTTGGGACAAATAAAATGTATGCTTAATGACAGGGGTGTCCAAACTTTTCAGTAAAAGGGCCACTTTAGTTCCCCAGACTAGTCCAGGGGCCGACATCACAGATCTGACTGGTATAGCTGTTCTGAGCTTCAAGATGATCTATAACTGAGCTGAAGTTGGCTGAATGACACATGTTTACCCGCTACAGCTACATTAGCATCAATAACGGAAGGGTTTTTAGCGGTAGGGTAAACTGGAGCACCTGGAGGAAACCTACCCAGACACAGGGAAAGCATGTTAACTCCACTCAGAAAGACCCTGTTCTGACCGGGATTAGATTTTTTTTTCTGATTTTTTGGATTCCCCTCACCTCGCTGGAGTCCTCCTGCTCGTTGATGACCAGGATGGCGTCTTCCTGGGCTTTCCTCTTGGCTTCCACCAGAGTCTTCTCCATTTTTGCCCGCTCGGTTGCGATCATCTCGAAGGCTTTCTGTTCGGCCTCGGCTACCGCTTTCTGCACCTCGTCCATGGCCTGGCGCTTCACCTCGTTGACGGCCTCCTCTGCGAAAGAAACAAGAAACGAGTCACTCACGGTTCCACGTCCGCGCCGCTAGATCACAGGTTATGGGTTTAGACAATGGACTCCCGGAAACTCTGCAGAGGATTGACGAATTGATTTTGTGAATGAAGAAGCACGGACGATTTTGAGCTTTCTGTCAGTTGTATTTCTGTCTGTTTGGATGAGTCCAGAAATAAATGCCAAAAACAAACAAATATCAATCGATCAAACAAGATACAGTGTGAATGAAAGTATTGTTTTTAGACTGTTTTTCAAGTTGTCCTTTTTGATTTTTTCCGTGTTTTTTGCCTAGAATTTCAATATTAACAGACATAGTGACACATATTTCCACAGACATGGGCAGATTCAAAATGGCCGCAAGTAGCCGTTCTTGCACCTTTTCCCAAAAATGTGAAAAAAAGCATTTGCGTATGTGTTAGCTGCACCAGCCCCATTCATTTAACACGTGCATTCCAAAGTTTACATCGACAGCATCTGGAACAAAGTGTTGAGAAAGACTTTTGGACAATCCTGTTAAGTCGTTTTAAAGACAAAAGAAGACGCATAGGAAAGTATTGGGTAATTCTCTTTCCGGGTACACCCCCACCGGCAAAGAGTGAGATTGCAGCATGTTGAGCCTGGACCTGCCCCTACTTGGTTTTGTTGTTGTTGTTTTGTGTTTTTCCCTTGTAATTACAATTAAAAAAGAAGATAAATTGCTTGTTTTGGCAATTTATGTAAAATATTGCCAGTACACATGAGGATCATTTTCATAATTTTTTAAAATCACACATGCCGTTTACGCTTGGCTTGTTGAACACAGATTATAAAGATTACTCAAACATGCATTGAACAAGAAGGATTCGGTGAGAAGCTTGTATTCAAGATTTCCCCGCGACCCGGCAACGGATGAAGCGGAAGAAAATGGATGCATGGACAAGTTTGCACAATTAGTCTCTTTTAACAGCCCTTTCGAAGCTGCCCAGAGCCCGCCTCAATCATTTAAAAAAGAGGGGTTTGAAAATGCTCTGATGCCTGGTGGATGTAATCTAATCTGATCTAATTATTACACATCTTACCAGCTTTCCTCCATATCTCATCCGTGACGTACGCTGAGCCTTGACGTGGGGCGAGCAAGTCACGCGGTGAGTCTGCAAGGGACAAACAGACTGCATCAGCACCAGCCAAAACTACAGCCAGGCAAACCAGAGCTGCCAATCAAAAGTACAAGAATGTAAAGTCTTGACTCGACTTTATGAAGTATATATGACAACTGGACAGCACAAGCCATGTAATTGTTGGGGAGGTTTTTTTTTCTTTTTGTTTTTAGTGTGAGTTTTGGCCGAATTGCGGAGCCGACAGCTTTGGGAAGGCGAGCGTTTGGCGGGGAGGTAACAACAGACAAACAAGCTGTGTCAACAGTCTGTGCTCTTCCTCAAATAACTCTTCATCCCTGCCACTATCTCACTCCCTTCTCTACTTTTTTTTTCTTACATTGTCCGTGCCAAAAAACATGAGATGGAATGGGCTGTGCAAGAAAGAACTATTTTTGTGCCAGATTTGCCAGTTTTAAAAAGTATATATGTATTTTGGCTGGTCTCAATATAACTAGTTTGAGTATTACATTTCTTACAGTTATCTACTAGACTGTTTAAAACTCTTTTATCTGTAAGCAACGTTTGGCAAAAGCACATCTAATTTACTGAGAAAAATCACAAACATTGGTGTTACAAAGTAAAGCTGGGTTTTTCCAACTAAAAAATTATGTTAAAGTAATTGCTGTGAACAAACCCGGGCACACACAACAGGCTGTGTTCAACTTATTGAAAAATAATCTGAGTATTGTGCATACTTGTAAGACAGAGCCCTGTAAGTCACGACTTGACACTTGGTTGTGTAAAATATGAGCCTCTCTTTGTCACTTTTCAGTCTGAAAAATCTGATTAACTCATTGACTGCCATTGACTGACGTACAGTATTTGTTTGAGGCCGGTGATTTCTGTCAAACTTCCCTCTATTCGACTCGTGATTACACGACAACAAAACTGGCTAGAAACAAACTTATTTTTGCTGATGAAAGTAGGCAGTCCAGCCTTTCAGAATCTGGTTTCATATGTCACATAGTTACAGCACACAATATTCTGTGGGTCTTGAAGATCAGTGAAATCATCAAAAATGGATGGCAGTTAATGAGTTAAAAGATGTGACAGAAACCACAAATACAAGCAGCAAAGCAAAACTGAGGTCATGCCACAAAATTCCAGGCATTCAGCTCGTGCATGTCCCCCTGCCTGCATTCACATACTCTGTTCTATACGCTGAGTGTGTGTGTGTATGTGTATGCGTGTGTGTGTTTGTGTGTGTATGTGTGTGTGTGGATGGAGCGGCAGCAGGCAGCTCTCCGGCTGTGAGTCCAGATGGCGCCGCACAGAATGAGCCAGCTCTGGGTCTGGGAGCCGCAGGACGACAGCGAGGCCCTTCTGCGGCCGATATGGCCCGGGCCAGAGCTGGCACCTGTCTGTGGACGGACCAGCAGGGGATGGCAGGCCTCGTGCTCGCGGAGAACACTGCCAGTACACAGAGGCTGTTGTGTAGCTGCAGTACCGCACTTGGCCACAGGATGGGGTTCTCCAACTCTACTTTTGGCTTTGGAGGTTTTTTTTCTTTTTTTTTTTTATCATCAGCAAAGAGTTAATGAAATCTTGTGTCATTTGGAAGTGGTATGTCGCGGCGTCGTAACAATCAGGCTTTTTAATGGATTTGAATGTTTTATCTTTTTGACCTATTGAAAGCATTGAAGAACGATATTCTAAATGTTTTTCCTTCTACTTACCCACTCAAAGTCCTTCATGCATATTTGAGTAATCTTACTTTAAACGCATACAATAATTACTCCTAATATTCCGATTTATCGCAATTAGTACCCTCTTTTTAATCATTATTTACTTCAAGTCAAGTATTGAAAAGCAAAACAAAAGAGCAAGTGAATAATTCCATACTCTGTGATATGAAACGTTTTGTCTGCGGTTCAATCCCATACACAAATGATTAAATCTATCAATGCCACTATACTTAAAGCTGGGGTACCTAACTTTTTCCACCCATAAATACTACATGCAGGTTTTCCAAATACAAAGAGTCTTGTAAAATAAAAAGTATATCTGTATTTTGTTGTTGTTGGGGTGAGAGCTGCTTGGCTAGTTGGCAATGGTCCTGGTATAAATTGTATATTTCTCATAATATTATCTTATATTATTATTATTATTTTCAGATTATCACTTTAATGCTATTTTCATTTGCATGTTTTATTGCGAAATTCTATGCAAGCTACTGTGACAACGCAATTTCCCTCGTGGATCAATAAAGTCTGTCTAAGTCCAAGTCTTTTGCGCCTTTTTGTCTGCATGTGTGGATTGAAAATGAGGTACCCCAGCTTTAATCTCATCTTGTGCTTATTTGTTAGTTCGCGGCACTCACCGGAGTCTGTGTGTGGACTGTGAGCTTTGGAGAAAGGTGCCGATCCTGAGCCTCCTTTCCGGGGGTCTTCCTGCTCACTGGACCTCCGCCTCCAGTAGTTCAGCTCCTCTCGGTCCGACTCCTGACAGCGTCGAAGAACCGCCACCGACCTCCGCGTCTTCTCCACCATGTCCACAATACAATTCAACACCTGCAAATGAAAAGATGAGATTATAGCAATGTACCGGGAGGAAGTAGTAACTATTTTATCTTTACTCTTTTTAATTCACTGTGATTATTTATAGATATATATTTTATTGATCCCCTATAGGAGAAAATCAGGTGTCCAGTAGCAGCTAAAAAAATACTAAAAATACATGATTTTGTAAATATTCTGTGTGAATTTGAATGTTTTAAGGTTTGTAATTACTTATGTGATTTTATTCTGTTTTTAATTTTTATTGTGATCTTAATTTTGGCTTTTAATTGTATTGTTTATGTGTATATGTAGATCTAAATGTTTAAGATTTATGCCTGAAGGTGATGGATTGGTTGAAGTCATCAGGAATTGCTTTTCATTTTTATCATACGTTTCATTGTCATTCTAAACTTAAAAAAAGATATTTCTAGTGCTTTAGTTTGAGTAGTCCTTGTGTTGGGCCTTAACCAGGGCAGTCACAGTTAAGCCTGAAAAATAAATCCCAATCGAATCCACATCGCACTTTTTGTGGCGGCAAAATGCAAATTACAGCAATAATTTACTTTACCAACAGAAAATTCTCTTCATAAAACTAAACTGTTTTATATCATCATAAGAGATTGAATGAGGTATATTTGTCTTTATTTTAGTGCATTATGACCGTTTTATCCACTAATGAAAGAGGAAAGTCCAGGCTTAATCATCCAGGCTTATTTTTAAAACAGATTTTTCTTGTGATTTGATTCCATCTATCCATATTCTTCCCCTTAATCCAATTCACATAGCACCAGATTTACTTCCGACACTGCAAAATTAAGAAGCTACCTTCACATTTGAGGAGAAAATAAAACCTGTTTCTTTTATTTTTCTTTCTCCTAGTGCAGTATGAACTAGGGCTGCACAATATTGGAAATTAGAGCGATATTTTTTTCTTTCACCTAAAATTTCAATCTGCTTTGAAACGCAAGAGACAAATAACAAAAACATTAGTGTTGTTAATTAATTGTTGAATGTTGATGTGAAGAAAAAAAAAAAACGCCAATATCGCTATATCCATATTTTTTTTATACATCATGCAGCCCTACTATGAACATTATTCAGAAAAATCTCAGATAAATATTTCTTTAAAACTGTGTAGCCCTTGTCACAAAATCAGAGAAAGACCAAATAGACCAAGACAGTGAAGACGATTCCTAAACGACACCTCGAGAGTGATCATTGCAAATAGGGCCGACTCGGAACAAATGAGACCTGAGTATTGGCACTTGTCTGCTGACGTACATGATCCAGATGTCTCCACTCGTCGGCCCACTCGCGGTCTGTAAGCCGGTGGTCCACTGGCTCCTCGCGGTAGGCTCCGTTAGTGCCTGATTAAAAAAACACAGAGAGACGAAGCACAGGCCAGTGTCATTAACATTCCTTTAAACTGGAGACAATCCACATGTGGTAATTACACACTTATCACTTGTTATCAGTTTACGGTGTGCTAATCTACTGTTTTTATGTTTGTCTTAAGACAGATAGGGCAATTAGTCTTTTCTTTTGACAACAAGTATAGGGTTTTTGCTTAAAACTGCAAATAAGTTATAGGAATTTGTCCTGAATCAACCTGAATGAATAAACCTGCACCACATTATATCCTAATCTAGCTTTATTAAGGGAATTAAAATGGTGATTCCACAGTAACTATTTGCTGGACCCAGGGGGAAAAAAAGTATTACACATGAGAAAGATCTAAAACTACTCGTTCCATTGGCAAATCAAGGCAATCGCGGCTTCATTCAATTCGATAGCTACTTAAAGGCGTTTTTCCTTATTCCATGTATTTTTGGTTTTGTGGAATTTGGCCCCAACCCCAAAGTGTATCAACAAGAAGTGGTAGCAAAACTGTGGTCAGTGACTCACGCAAAACCTTCTCCTCCCACCATCTTGTAAATAGTGTAAATTGCACAATTAACCAATTTCCCGTGGACACAGCCATTATGAAAGTTGGAGCATGCTCTATTTGCCTGGTTATAAATTACTGCATGTCAACCACACTATTCTAAATGTCAAGTAATGTGTCCAGCTTTAAATAAATTGCAGAGTGGAAGAGTGGAAAAAAGGATGAGTCCGGGGTTAGCGAGCAACAAAGGTGCCTTGCAAAAAGAGAAACGTGAGAGGGGCTGATGATGCAAAACAGATCTAGAGCACCCAGAGCCTGAGCACATCTGGAAGTCAGCTGTCCGCCACACATTCACACACACACACACACACACACACACACACACATATGCAACGTCCCTATGGCCTCCACATCCCTCCCTCACAGCATTCCAGTTGGGAGACACTGAGACTGAGTGGTGTGGCTCCACTTCTAAACACAACCAGGCGATCAGAAGGCTCCCTCCCAGGCCATCGCTACCATGTACATTTAACAAGAGCCAGTTAAATGCAGGGTGTGCATTTTGGTCCTACGTTCCATGGGAAAATGTGGAATCTGCAACTTTTTTTTGGGTGTAATATAAGAATGAGCACAGACTTCAAAGTAGAATACAAATCCGTTGAGATATTTAAAGAATCGGGTTGTGAAATGGGGACGTTTAGATCCATCAAATCTAACAATGGATGAGACTTGCAAAACTATGAAACATCCAGACGCTCAAGGGAATAATGGATATATAACTCTGCAATATAAACAAATTATGTACATTTCTCCATTGTGAGATCACAGGGAGCACAGGGACTGGCCTAGGGCTGGTCTTAAACTCAGAACTAAACATGGGGACATTTCAGATTCAAGATTTTTTTTGCCATTTCCAGTAAAAACCACATTGGAAAAACTGTGCAAGACTACCCCAGTGTGCACCAGCTGCTAAAATCTGGGACAATCTTCCTGAAAATGTGAGACAGGCCTCTTCTCTGACATTCAGGTTGTGTTTAGCTGTGCATACAACTGAGGGATTTAAGAATTGTATCTTTCTTTTTTAATGTGCTGTGATTATTTATGCCTTCTATCTTGTTTTGTTGAACACTTTAAGTTGTCTTGTGTATGATTTGTGTGATACAAATAAACCTGCCTTGCCTCTAAAAATCCACAAATACAATAATTAATCAAGCAACACAAGACTTGGCCCACCATGAAGACATCAACCGGTCAATCTAAATCAATCAATCAAAAAAACTACAGCTTTTAGCATTTCGGTAGTCGTAGCTTAAAGCGGCTACTAAAAATCTCAAAAAAACAGATGAAGGAAAGCCATCGATTGTGTGTGACATGAATGATTTCTTTTCAGCTGTAATCACGGATAAGTATGTTTGCTCCAAGTCGTGCCTGATGCCAGTGACCTCAAAAGAAAGCGTGCATGTTTCGAAGTCCAAACCGACACGAGAGAAAATGCAAAAAACGAGGCATGCGACCATCTGAAGAGAATAACAGTGCTGCTAAACACAAAGTAGCTCTGCTTGGCCTCCACTGGACTTCTGGTTCTCATCAGTGTTGATCAGTTCAAAGTGAAGTGTTTATGTGCGTGTGTGTGCTCCTATGAGTTAAGTGGCGGCAGGCTGTCGGACGAGGGACTGCTGCCTCGTAAACACACCACCTCCTGCATGAACATATCAAGGTGTGGAGCTCCGTGTTTAGGACTGTACGCAGACAGGAGCCCTAAATGGAGGCTATAGCGGCAGACCGGCATTTCAAACAGACATGTATTTACTCGTGTGTATGGTTCTTTTTGGATTATATTAATAGAAGCAAAGTTTAGATTCGCAGTGAAAGAGAATAATCAGGGTTAGGGATATCTTTAGGTGATAGTGAAAAGCGAAAAAAATGTTTTGCAGAGGAACTCATCTTGAATAAATTAACCTGAGAAAAGCCAGAGTCAGAACTAAACATAGCTAACATTTAGAAGTGTCTTCCTGAATTATGTGAGACAAATCCGGGTTACAAACAGTTCTGTTTATACAACTGAGGGATTTAATATTTGTATCTTTCTTTTTTAATGTACTGTGATTATTTACAGATAGAATCACACAGGTCGTGCAAAAGATAGAGGTGTGGAAACTTGTTAAAGGTAAAAAATGTGTGTTTCTATCTCGTGTTAAGGTGCCTTGTGTATGAAATGTGCTGTATAAATACTCGCCTTGCATTGCTTGAGACGAAGGCTAAATCAGGACCATAATCATATTGTTAATTACCAGTACTAAACCTGGGCAAATGTGAACGCAATCTTAGTCAGCGACGTTGCAATCTGCAGTTTTTTTTTTTATTATAAATATGGCACATCCTCCAAACAGCTCAAACTAAAATCGACTTAATGCAATCCCACTCTGCGCCAACAAACACCTCTGTCCAGCTCGGAGCGTGCAGCCGTCAAAAGCGCTTCCACTAATATTGAGCTAATACATCTAGGACAAACTTTCCCAGACCTCCCAGAATCCCCCTGAATAAGCCTCGGCTGTGTCCGTGCCAAGAGTCCTGGTTTCAGGTCTGGCTGCGGGCCCTACGGGACATACCGGGCAGTCTGGGCCGGTCCTTGAGTTCACGGATCTCCAGCATCCGTTGGCTGTGCTCGCGGTGGAGGATGTGCGGCGCCGCGATGTCGTCTAGGGCGTAGTGCTGCAGCGGCGGGGGCGTGGGGTGGAGCTGCGAGCTGAGAGGCAGTGGCGGGTGGGCGGGGCTATGGCGGGGAGCCGGGCTGATGGTGCAGATGCGCTTGGCGGCGGGCTCCAGCGAGGAAGGGGGCGGACGGTCGTGGAAACCGTTTTCTTTGACTCTGCAGCGGCGAAGGGAAAAGCGGACAACAGGGGTTATTACAAAGGCTATGGGAATTATGGTTAAAAATGATTCTGATTGTTTGGTAAAGCACATTTAGGTGCTCTGAGTATGAAGTGTACTATACAAATAGTCTTGCCTATTGAACCAAAGCTTAGCAGTAAAAGTTGTAGAAGATGAAGTAGAATATCAAATCAAATCAAATGATCGAAAAATCCCAATCTCTAAATATCAACTATCAAAATGCATATGTGTATTTGCTGTTGTGGGGCAAAATCTGCGTTATGAAATCTCACACTGGTAAGTAGCATACATCTTAATTTGTCTTTCATAATACGACCCTAATTATGCACAATTGAAAGTAAATATTGAATTTCAATGAGAAAAAAAAAACATTCATTCATTCATTCATTAATAGGAAAATTAGATTGATTCAATGATAGCTTAATTACTTCCCGAGGTTAGGGTTAGTTTGCTACTACCACTTCTAGCTAAATAGTTAAAGTAGTAGAATGAGTAGTAGTAGTAGTAGTAGCAGTAGTATTAGAATGAGTAGTAGTAGAAGTAGTAGTAGATGCAGTTTTACTAGTTAGTCAGTGTTACTAGAAGAAGTAGCTGTAGTAATAGGTACATGATAAAAAACTCAGAACATTTGACAGAGTTTTTTTGGGCTCTAAACGTGAAAAGCCGTCTCACCGCGTAGGGCTGGGTCTCTTGGGGGCCGGCTCCGGGGGCTCCATGAGCAGCTCCGAGGAGTCTGGAGACGAGGCCAGGGTGGTGCTGAGGAGGATATGCTCATGCTGGGACAAGTACTGGGCTGGGGTCTGCTTGGCTGCCCGCGCACAGTGGAGGAGCTCTCTCTGCAGCAGCGGGAGATTGGCCTGTACGGAGACATACGTTCAAATAAGATTCAAGATGCAGTTATTTGCCATTTGCAGTAAAACCACTGGAAAAACTGTGCAAAACTGCCCTCAGTGTGCACCAGGAGGGTACACATCAGGGCTCTTGCCACGACGCCATGCCAAGAGTAAGTAGATGTGCAGAGAATTTTAACAACAACACAAAAGAACCCAGAAAAACATATTTTTTGGTGGGAAGAGTACTAACAACACAAAATATATATAACCCTAACCCTATATATATATGTTTCAATAATTATTAAATCCCATTTTTTTTCAGAATCAGAATCATTTTTATTGCCACGTAAGAAACAAAAGTCACCACTTGGAAATTGCTTTGGCAGAGCATGCCACGGCGCCATCTTATAATAATAATTGTGACTTCCTTTTACTTACATGGCAATAAAAATGATTCTGATTTTGATCATTTGCGTTATTGAGCACAATTATCAAAGTGAAAAATAAAAACCCCAAATTACTTGCTTTTTGTTGATTTTATTTCTGTTTTCTCTCCCTGAAATATGGAAAAACTGAAACGTTTTTATTGTCTGTGTCTGTGTTGATCTGGAGGACCATGAGTCTGTAATGAACTCCATCTTAAATTAGTTGTTTGCTTCTATGTGACTAGAATTCATAAACAAATACTGCAACATTTCTACCAAAAACATTTTAAAAAGCCACAATACCCAGCAACGACGCAGCAACGCACGGAACCTAAAAACATGTCAAAACAACAGTTCACATTCTCTTTGGTGAGTATTTAGATATGGCCGTCTCTGTCCTATCTCCTCCATCGCTTCCCGCATTTCCCTAATTAGGAGCAGCCGCGCAGTGTGTTTGCAATTACGGCACTTCCTCGCTGCCTACTTTCCTTTGCTGGCTAAACACACGTCCTGTTCTCCATGTGATCTCCATTTCTTTACAAGCGTCCCGACCAGAGGATTGTGTAAACGTGCACGCTACACTCCCCTTCCAGTAAATCTAACTTTTTTTTTTTTCTTTCCCCCCATATTCCAATCGTAACAGAGGCTGCAACTCGTCATTATTTGGCAACCCCAGCCAATCATACATCTGCCATTAATCTATGCTGGTTTTATTCTATGATTGCGATCCATACTCAAATTAACTTGGGTCTCTTTGGTCATGTCCTGGGTGTGTTGCAGTGTGGGACCCAGTACAGATGTGTTTTAAAGCAATCGTTGATGTCAAAATGAGATTATTATCTGCGTTTTATTTGCACTAGTTGTTATTTCTGCAGTGACAGCTAATCTTGCACCCTCTTAAGCCCTGATAATGGCTCAAACGTGTTGCGGTGAATAATTGGACACTCAAAAAACTCAAACTAGTTCAATTTTGAGGCAGTAAAATAGGGCGCAGTGCCTTTTAATACATACATTTTGTTTGTCCCAACATAAAAAGTATTCTTCAAGCAACATTTTGTAAACAAACCAAGCCACAACACCCGTTTTTATTTTATTTTTATAGCACATTTTGTCTTTTAAATACTGAGAGCTGATTGGCTGAGTGAAGGCTGGTATGTGACAGAGACCAAAAAAAACTGTGATTATTTTTTTTATTTTTTTTTAGACCAAGGAACTAGTTACATGGATTTTACCGTGTTCTCAAGCAATTATACCACGTTACACTGCTATTGACCCTTACTTTACGTTTAATTGGAGAAGCTTGAGTAAATCCTCCACTCTCTTAGTCATACGCGAAGGCTTTTTACTTAATTTAGTCAGCAAAAACGTGGCGTCCAACGATGCGGAGGCTAAATTGGCAGAGTAAAGGAAGCCCAACGCTCTGCTAATGGGACAGTGGCTCCATATGGCACACCGCATCCTTAAAAAACAGGGAAGGGGCAGTTTATAGGCATGTTTCACACTTAGCTCCATCTTTCTCCCCCACTCTCTCTCTCTCCCGTTTTCCACTTCCTCCCCCCCCCCCCCCCCCCTCCCCCACTGTCTCCGTCCCATCTGTCTACACCCTGCTCGACTACGCCTCCTTTTCTTTGCCTTTAGACAAACCTTTCTTACAAAGTTGGCATTAACTTTGCGGCACTCCACCCCTCGGCAATAAATTACCCTAAAGCAGGAAAACAGGGGTCGCTTGTCGAGCTGGGACAGACGGAGGTGGGACAAAGGTGAGAGAGAGGTGGAAAAAACTAATAGGTCTTTCATTTACAGCCGTTTAACTTGGCTGAAGATTTACACTTCACTTTAATAAGGGGAGCTCCTGAAAGGTCACTTGCGAGGTAACAAAGGCGGCTTAGGTAGGTGCTTAATTGACACTGGGCAAAGCCGAGCAAAGAAAATCCCTCATATTTACAGTGACTCATCAACTTTCCAGGATGAAGAATAGGTTTTCAATCCTCTCAGAAAGCATCCTACTAAAGTTTATGAAAAAGTAATGACAGTCCACCAAAACCATGAGCTATTATGTGGTTAATAGCAGCAGCCAATAGCCACAAGAATGAGATCTAAAAAAGAACACATTTGGGATTTTCAGAGCTGGATGAATAAGTACAGAGAATACCAACAGTTCCCATTGTGTAAAAATACAAAATTAAGCTTGCAAAAATTTAGTAACTGCGTTTGATCAAAAAAAATATATTTAGCATGTGTTTACCTTGAGAAAAGGGATAACAAAAGGCCTTAATGGGAAGTTTGTGGCTTCCTGGAGTCTCGAATGGAACTCTTCAATGGTCACAGTTGAATTCTGTGTGAGAGAAAGAGAAAGACATGTATGAAAAAACCACAAACGCTCAGTAAAGTGACACATAGTAAGCACAAGAACTGTTGTCTAACCACGAGGGCCAGCACGAGGTTGCGGACACTGTCTCCGATCTCGGGGGATATGTCGTTGCCAAACTGCTGCAGCGTGGTCAGGAAGCGCTTGAGTTTGCTCAGCTGGCGCGCCCCGCAGGTGGCAGGCAGCTGCTGGTTGGCCAGGGACGAGGAAGAGGAAGAGGATGGACCGTTGCTATAGCGCTGAGGTGGGGATGGCACTGCGTTCAATGTTGGCGGAGAATGGTGGTTTCCGTTGGTCACTGGAGAAGAGAGGAGTTCAATTAGTTTTTCTAATTGTTCTGCACTGGGTAAAAGTTCCCGCTTTTCTTCACATAATTGTAAAGAGGTTTAGTCAATCATACATAAACCGCCAAGCTTCTCCAGTCAATGAAACAGCAGGATATTTGACTTTTGATTGTGATTGTGAAGGGATTTGAACATTTTCCAAGCATGCCATGGTGACCTACTTTAGTTGACCAGACGACAACCCAGATTGGGAAATTCGTATGACTGGATTTGGGCTTTTCTGAGCTTCAGAACAAGTTATGATATATCCATATTAGAATTGACAGGGCTGAAGTTGGCTTAATGATACTTGATTGATACTTTCTCACAAGCTACATTAGTGTGATCTACTGAGGTCTGTGCCACAACCACAAATAAAATGTAGGTATTGTAGGTTAGGTATTAAATAAGCTGATTGGCTGGATGACACTGGGAACTCAAAGGCTGCACTTTGCCTGACACAAGAAATGAAAGAGTAAGAGGACCGAGGGCTCACCTGGCTTTGATTGGGCTGTTTCATTCTTAACTCTTCTCTAAAAGTTAAAAACTGGGGATTTATTTGAGAGCATAGATATGTCTGATCTACATATCATCACATAAAACCCTTGAAAGCAGAGAGTACAGCCAAAACAGTTTGATTGATCTATTACTGATAACATATGGGTGGATTTGTTGACGCCACCAGATTCATTGGGCACACTTCTGGTAAACGAGCTACTGTTGCCCGCTACGGCTTTGGTGAACATCCAAAACGACTTAGTAAGTAAAACGCTAGTAAAAAAACCGGCTTGGCACTTACACGCTGTGGTGGAGAAGGAGGCCGGGCGGGGGCCAGTGGGGTTGACAGACGGCAGGGGGGGCATGCTGGAGCTGAGGCTGGGGGCTGATCTGGAATGAGTCTTAGCATCCACAGGAGAACCGGGCATGGCAGGGCTCTTCGTCTCTCTGAGGTCTGCAAGGGAGAGAGGAGGGAGGTCAGGCGCAGGGCGAAAACCAGAGCCAATGCATGGACGCAAATTCAAAACAGAGCGAGGCAGCTTTGTTTCAAAGAAGTGACACGTACGAAAAGATTCTGCGATCAACATCGTACAGAGCAGAGAACAATGCGCTCTTGTTTTTGGACGTCCCACTTGTGAGCAGGCCATCAGAACATTCTCAATGCACCACACGTTGTAAAAACAATAAAGATTACTGTTATTATTGCGATGAACTGGATAAGTATTGCTGTTTTTTTTGTTTTTTTGCATCAACAATATAAAAATTATGGTAAAAATCAGGAATGTCATGTGAAAATGTAAATATTTTTGCAGCCGCTTAAATTAATTATTGATAATGGGGAAGGCACTTGAAGAAGATGACAAAGTCTGGGATCGCGTCTTTAATTCAGACAGAAGACATGTTTTATTGTCGATGGTAGACACAGCACGAACAACAGATACAACAGAATGCAAGTGTATTATACAGAGCGGAGGCATGGAGACCTCCAATCAGCAGCTGCCACGGTGCCATGTAGCTTGGCCTTCAGATAGACAAAACAAGGGAAACGTACTAGCTTCTGCACATTGATAGAATGACGAGTTTAACTTTAACAAAAGTTGCTTCAAAGTGTTATGAAATCTCACATTCCCCCCTCTGGTCACACATTCACGTGTGACCATCAGGATCGATAAACAGCAACATAACATCATAACTCAATACTTAAACTCGGTACTCGGAATACTTCAAAAACTCATAAAACATTTTCAGATCTTTCATAAAACTTGTCAACAATCTTCAGTAAAATACCAAACTTCATCAGTCGATGGTGGTTCCAGATATTGCTTTGAAAACAGTCTCTCCCACTTCTCCGTGTTGATTCTTTCAGGCTGCATTTGTGTCGAGCCATGATTCTTCTGTGACGTGTCTTTCAATCACACGTTTCAGCTTCAGTGTCCAGATTCAGCAATTCAATTCAGTCCAAATGATGTCCAAATTCAGAAATCCAATTGTTCCAAATGATGTCCATGCAAAAGAGGACGCTGGTGTTGTCCATGTCTCAGCAGCTCACAGCTTGAGTGGAATCAGGGGCTGTGCAGATTGTCCATGTGTGCTGGTCCAGATGCATGGTTTCTCTTGAGGTTTCTCAGTTTTGGCTTAAAAAAAAAAGTCTTCTGTTCTGTAGATGTTACAGACAATGCCCGCATCCTTCCACCACCTGAAGAAGATGACATGGTCTGGGATCGCGTCTTTCATTCAGACAGAAGACATGTTTTATTGTCGATGGTAGAGACAGCACGAACAACACGAACAACAGAATGCAAGTGTATTATACAGAGCGGAGGCATGGAGACCTCCAATCAGCAGCTGCCACAGTGCCATGTAGCTTGGCCTTCAGATCAGACAAAACAAGGGAAAAGTACTGGCTTCTGCACATTGATAGAATGATGAGTTTAACTTTAACAAAAGTTACTTCAAAGTGTTATGAAATCTCACACACTTATTAGATTTTTGCTTCTGCCTTCTCCTTTTGAGCTTTTTTATTTTTGTCTTTCTTGAATTATATGTGCATGTTAAAAATATATATATAAAACACATTGTAAAAGTGCTCAATAAAAATACTACTACTACTACTCTCGACTATATGAGAAAGTGAGGGCTGCAACTAACTATTATGTTGCAAACAAATTAATGATGAAATAATTAACCACAAATTAAGTATTTTTTTATTTGTTTTTGCATAACCATTACAAAAAGCCAGCAACATTGAGATCGTTGTAGATTTTCAACTGATTCTGAAAACAGATGCCAGCTCTATTCACCGTCATAGTCATGTAATCATTTAAGATACTTGATATGTTTTGGTGTCTGTGTAATTAGTTTGCTTCAGTTCTAGTGGGTTGCAAAGTGTTAATGGTAGTGGTGATGCAGAAGTGGTAATGTCAGTAGTAGCTGTGGGAATGATTGTGGTGTTAGTAAAAAACAAAAAAAATGGCTTGAAAACGTCTAAATTCTTAATGGCATTTGCTTTATTTCCAGCATAATAATTTCTGCATAGAGTAATAAGTGGGAGGACTGTTATCATTCAGGCGTGGGACAAAGAGTGGAGGTCAAGCAGTGGGCAAAGAGCTATCAAGGCTATGAATATATGAAATCAAATGTTTAATTAATGAGTAAATAACTGAAATATCAGTATCTAAATCATGAGCTTGCAGTCGTTTCTGTTGTTTGAGAATGTATCGTTTAACTTGGCAACAGTTCGCACATTCGCAGCCTTTTATTGAACACATTGTTATTGACTGAAGAAAATTTACTTGTTGGACTGCCATTGTTGCGACCCAGTAAATACGAAGCCAGCGCTTATAAAAGAGAGACAAAAAGTCCCATGAAAAAGACCTACTTCACATCACCCGACACATTGGACACCAGCACCCAGCACCCCTCTCCCATCAAAGAGCCAGATGTCGAAAGTTTAGCCCCTCAGTCCCAAACTATTCAGATCAATAACAGAAGAATCCTGAAGTCTGCTTTTGTGTGGGAGAAGAATGTCCCCTCATTGAGCTCCCTAACAAACAGAAGGGGGGTCCGCAGACATAATGGACTCTGGGACGGCACTATTTCACGCTTTACTAACAAGACGGGCAATGCTTTTAAATGTTAAACTTCTCAATATGCTTCTCTCGTTGAATGGGACCACCAGATCAGGGGTTCGCTGGTGGGATGAGAGGTGGCCTTTGTCTCCACGCAACCTTCATGGGCCGGGTCTCGTCTCCATTTAGAGTGGATCAGACTTTTCAAACCGTGTCAAGAATGGACGATTAATAGACAAGTATGGCAGCGCGGAGGTGAAGGGTCAGGCCGCGGCAGCTTTTTAAATATGGTTTCATGGTTTTAGGGCTTTGGCTTCAATGGTGGCCTTTATGTCTTCTTCATAGCGATGAACTCTGGCCGCCCGTGAGCCACAAGGTCCCAGTATATAAAAGGTGGCGTTTTGAATGTTTAAGCTCTGTCGATGGGGTAATGGGGGCTTTAAACATGGAATAGGCTTTTGGTATTTGAATATTTCAAGTATAAATAGGGGGTATTGATTATGGTTAGTATGACTTGTTTGTACAAAAGGAGAAGTCGCCAATCCCATGAGCTGGAGAAGGAAAATAAATACATTGCAATGTTTTTTTCTATTCAATTTTGAGTAAACAATGAGAATGACTTGAAGTTGAATAAGTCTTTTGATGAATATTATCTGTACATGTGGCACATTTCAAAGACCAAGCTCACAGAGAGTCACAAAATCCTGTTAATAGCAACTTCTAAATAGTTATTAATCCTTCAATGATTAAGCACACCAAGCACAACATGTTTTTAGATGTGGTGGTAAGTTTAGTTTAGTAGTATTGATCAGTATATACACTACCCCCAACAAAATGACCACATTCGTAGAGAACATAGAGGTCTTTCCAGAAACTGTCTTGACTCATGTTTATTGTAACATTTTGTGCGTTGCTCACTCTCGTGCTGTGTCTCTCCACCTGTTCAGCGACACAGGGGGCAGGAAGATGAGCTTTCTCAAACATTTGGACCGTTACTTAAACCGTGTACTTGTCTGCCAAAGCTCCACGGGATGCAGAGCGAAAGCACAGAGCTCCATGTACTCCATCCGTATGGCCAGGAAATTAGACTGACATCTCAATAAGAGAATCAACAGGGCATATGGCCTTGGTGGCAACACTGTTAGTATGTAAACAACTTTATAATGATAGCGTTTGGGAATTTGCGATGCGGATTTACAAGGAGTTTTTCTTTATATGGTTGCACATCATCAACAGATCTCCACTGGCAGCAAGCGGTCAATTCCAATCCAAATTGAGTGTCACCCTTGTAAAAAAAAAATCTCCATTGTGCTCGCCTGGCACCATTCACAGCAAGCCTTTAAACACACAAATTAGATCCAAACATATTGCATGTAGCTGATGGCGTGCTCCATTTCAGCATGGGGGGGGGGGGAAATAGGTTACAGCTGCACAATCTTAAGATGTGGAAAAGGTCTGTTGTTAACCACTGCAGAAGTAATGCAGGAGCGAGGGACATCAGGTGTGAATTTGGAGCGCTGAAAGCCTACAGAGAATTGCTTGTCAATTAGACGGCGCACGCTGCTGGATGACTTCATCTGGCTTACGAGCACCTGGGTCCAGTGTCACCGCGGCGTCAGGGGAGACAGCTGCTGGCACACAAAGCGGCCCTGCAACGTGAACTCAGGTGAGGATTGGTGAGGATGAGGATGGGAGCTGTTTGTCCAGTCTAGAAGCCACCTGTCGTCCTCCGTGAGCTAATGGGACAAAGAGGATGGACGCAAATATATGTGTCGTAAATCTGGAAGCTTACCTAGAAACAAGCACGGGCTAACGGAAAGCGTCATGGGAGATGTGGAGTGGATAGCGTGATAGTAATTGGAATATTTTTATGAAAAGAAACATTTCAATCATGGAAGTGTCATGTCTTTCAAGTTTTTCAAGCAGGCAACATTTTCACTTGAGTTTTTATCAAACTAATAACCAAATTAGTCCCGCTGGAATAGGGGTGGGCAAAATATATCGTAGACAATAATATCGCAAAAGTGAATTTGAAGATATGCTTTTTTTCTTATTTTCTTTTTTCAATACACATTACAATTAGGGCAGGCCCATTCGCCAAATGAGCGGCTAAAACGCCAATCACGGCTTTATTTGCAAGTTTCAGAAAATATTGAGCAAGCCTTTTTGGATGTGTTCTTCCTGTGTTACTTGGATTTGATTTTTAATGTTAATATATGTTTGTGCATGTTTGCCATTTGACTTTTTTGATTAACATTGCAGATTGTTTTGTGTAAAAATTATTCATTTCAAAGATATTGTGGCAATGTCGTTATCGGGAGTTGGGGAAAAAATATTGAGATAATTATTTTTGTTCATATCGCCCACCCCTATGCTGGAAACAGTC